TTAACTTGCTTTCATATTGTTTTTGCTACTTGACTTTAAGGATTCTCTCTAAATTATATTTCACCAACTTAAATTAGCATTGCTCTGAAATAATTATGTACTGTAGTGCATTACTGTAGGACGATGATTTTATGATGCTGAAACTGTTCTCAGTTCTGACTAAAACCAGATATTGCATTATATAATGGGAGTTCTTCTTGGGAATTGATGTAATTTTATTTGTTTTGTTTTCTACCAGGGACATCAGAAGCATTTTTGCATGCTGTCGCAGATGAGAATCAGCTGAAACAGTCTAATGACTCACTGCTTGTCTTCTCACTGATTTACCTAATCTTGAACGTCGTGCTTATAAGAACAGCAGGTGCAATTGGACTAATAATTGCAAATTCTTTGAGTATCCTTTATTAATAATTGTGATCGATTATTCCTTCATATGATTTTTTATTTTTTAATTTTTTGATGCATGTGATGATACTTATTGCATCAATTTATCTACTTCATTGATTGTTATTTTGAGATCGTCATTCTATGCATAAACCCCGTCCAATTTTGAGTTCATTCATCTTAAAAGTGAAAAAGTCATTGACTGGTAGTTAAGACATGATCTTCAGGATAATTTATTCAGCAATTTTCATCAGAAAATATTTCAAGGTACGGCTTTTACGCAACTATCTAGTATTCTATGATTTTTTTGCTCTCTATGACATTGTTGCATCTTTAGTTAAACAACTGATGCTTTAAATGTAAGTCCTCTCAGGACTTGTCGTGTCGTTCTCCTTCAGAGCTTGCTGGCCCGGTGGCTTCATACTTCTGCTTGTCTCAGGTGTAGCCACTTTCATCCTCCAAAGAGTATATCTTAACAAAGATAACTTCTGGTCCACCTTTACAGTCCACTTGTCCTTTGGGTTGGCATGTTTCAGTGTAGCAGCTTTTGTGATGTAAGTATTTTCTTTTTTGTTGCCATTTTATGTTGAACAAAAAATATTATCTCAATGCTATGTTGATTATTATTATTATTTTATTTCATCATCAGATACCAGATACCAGATACCAGAAAGAGAAGACCTTCATTAACAAAATCATATGTTTTTGTGAACATGCCGATTGATTGAAGCTAACTGATGATTTTTATTTTATATATAAATTTTTGTGCGAAGCAATGTATTGATAGTTTGTATCAATACATTGCTTCGCACAAAAAATTATATATAAAATAAAAATTACGTGATATTTAACCTCGTGTCATCAGTTAGCTTCAATCAATCGGCATGTTCACAAAAACGTACGATTTTGTTAATGAAGGTCTTCTCTTTCTGGTATCTGATGATGAAATAAAATAATAATAATACTCAACATAGCATTGAGATAATATTTTTGGTTCAACATAAAATGGCAACAAAAAAGAAAATACTCACATCACAAAAGCTGCTACACTGAAACATGCCAACCCAAAGGACAAGTGGACTGTAAAGGTGGACCAGAAGTTATTTTTGTTAAGATATACTCTTTGGAGGATGAAAGTGGCTACACCTGAAACGAGCAGAAGTATGGAGCCACCGGGCCAGAAGCTCTGAAGGAGAACGACAAGTCTTGAGATGACTTACATTTAAAGCATCAGTTGTTTAACTAAAGATGCAACAATGTCATAGAGAGCAAAAAAATCATAGAATACTAGATAGTTGCGTAAAAAGATCTAAGTCGTACCTTGAAATATTTTCTGATGAAAATTGCTGAATAAATTATCCTGAAGATCATGTCTTAACTACCAGTCAAGGACTTTTTCACTTTTAAGATGAATGAACTCAAAATTGGACGGGGTTTATGCACAGAATGACGATCTCAATCAATGACGCAGATAAATTGATGCAATAAGTGTCATCACATGCAGCAAAAAATTAAAAAATAAAAAATCATATTAAGGAATAATCGATCACAATTATTAATAAAGGATACTCAAAGAATTTGCAATTATTAGTCCAATTGCACCTGATTCTCATCTGCGACAGCATGCAAAAATGCTTATGATGTCCCTGGTAGAAAACAAAACAAATAAAATTACATTAATTCCCAAGAAGAACTCCCAAAATATAATGCAATATCTGGTTTCAGTCAGAACTGAGAACAGTTCAGCATCATAAAATCATCGTCCTACAGTAATGCACTACAGTACATAATTATTTCAGAGCAATGCTAATTTAAGTTGGTGAAATATAATTTAGAGAGAATCCTTAAAGTCAAGTAACAAAAACAATATGAAAACAAGTTAAAGGTGCAACTTTTAGTGATATAAAGAAAAAAAAAAAAAAAAAAAAGAAGGAAAGAAAATGCAGAGTTATATGAATGACCAATTACCATTCATGGCTAACACAATCACGTAAAGGCAATAACACTGGAGTGCAGTTGAAGCTTCTCCGTCGCTCCATTTCCTACTATAAAGCAACCTGATGAGAGAATAAGAGTAGCTTGGACCAAATGCAATCACAACCAAACCTAACCAATAAAAAAACAATAACATTTAGAAAAGAACTAAAATATACATTGCAGCAAATATGCCCTTGTGTGAAATTTAAAAAGGTTATTCTTCACAGTATAACAACCAGTTAATACATTATTTTTTTCCAGTCTAGAAAACTCATTTTATATTTGGTATTATTATTTCTATCCATTAGAGCATCTTCACTACTCTAATAATAGATAGAAGGTATTGTTGTTCACTGTTTCTAAAATTATCGTTATCCTCTTCCATTGACATTAATTGGAACTTTGACAATATACAACCTTGCCAATTATTATATAAAGCAAAACGTTGATTTTCGTTTATGCATGCGGATGATGAAGATAAGCTAAGCTAGATCATAAATCTTATTACAAAATAAGATGTTGAAGTGTCTGACTAAAATGGAAATTTGTGAATGTGCGAAGTTTTTACATGTTATAATTAAAGAGGAGTTGAGAGATTTTATAGAAAAAGTTGTCATAGAGCTATTTTGCTTTATAAGTTTATAAGCTCTTTAGGAGCTTTATTTTTCCAAGTAAAATGTCTTTCAATTTTATTTACACGAGCTTAAAAGCAGTGAAATTCTTATAAGATGTTCTGCAGCGACTATAAGATCAGCTGAGGCAAAGTAAGATACCTATCAGCAAAATAAGCTTCAGCGCATCAGTTAGACTCTTTGCCAGGTTCCTCTTTTTATCTTTGTAATCACCTGCATGCAAATTAAGTTAAACAGCCTGAAATCACTGGTCCAAACTCAACTGTTGTCACCAATAACAGGATGTCTATAATTTTTGGGCGTTCAAGCCAGTTCTGTTCGTCGGATTTAGATAACCATTTTTCTACAATGGACATCCCATTCCTACTCATATAATGTGCTTTAGAATGTACACAATGCGAGGGTCATATTGAAATGAAAATACTAAATTCTTAGGATAATAAAACACGCATTTGTAGAATTTGAACAGAAAAGAATATTACACAAAAGGAGAGAGGTGAACCTGATGCAGACCTTGCAAAAGTAGCGCAAAAGTAGCATAGGAACTTTCTTCTAACGGAAGAAAAACCATCCTCACAACTAAGCTCCCTGAGAGATCAAGCAATTATCTTTCAGAATACTCCAAAGTAGCGGAGGTGGACCCTACTAGTGCTCACACTGGCATTCTCATCGAATGCAATTTGCAAGCAACCTCCTAATGAAAAATTCCTTCTTAATACATTGAATGCTCGCGAAATAATTATGGACCTACCTAATTTGTCTACAAGCCCATAGACTGCTTGGTTATATGGTGTATCCAGCCATACAAGGACCATCTTCTCACCTTCCTGAAGTTTCAACTTTCGGAAGGATTGAAGAGTGAAAATCATACACATGTTTGCAAGCGGTCTGTCATACCCTGTTTTGTTCCCTATCCTGCAATAGTTCTATCAGTTTACATAAAAAATTGGAAGCATTCTTCTTATGAAAAACATTATGTATTCACATTGGAAAACAAAAGTCTTCATTATAAGAAAATTATAAGAGAACAGCTGTTACATTTCCCGGGTATAACCTTTTTGACACTGCTATTGGAAAATTGGATAAAAAAAGAAATATTGTACTGATTAAATTACTTCATCTTCTGAAATTAATGACGGGGCTAGGAAGAAAATGAGTACCTTAATGGAAACAGAACGTTTGTTCTATAAACTTGAAATAAAAGAAAGTAGGGATCTTCTACAGTCAGGTCATGGTTGTACCTATCTAACATCAGGTA